GGCTCTTACCCGGTAGTAGTAGTCACGTTGGTGGAAGTGGTGGTAGGGCTCATACCCGGTAGTAGTCGCGGTGGTGGTGGGAGGGGCTCATACCCGGTAGTAGTCATGGCGGTGGTGGCGGCACTGGTGGTTGCTCAGCCTCAGTAGCGGGATTGCTAGTGTCAGCAGCAACAGCAGGACTCACACTCAGTAGTAGCAGCAGCAGTACTGTTACTGGTAGTATTACTGGTGTTACAGCAGGAGCGGTGAGACTCCCACCCAGGCGCGTTAGCAGCAGCCGCAGAAGCTCATACTCTGTAGCAGAAGTTTTCTCACTGGTGGTATTGCTCCTCTTGGTGGCAGCGGAGCCGTAGAGCCTCCCGCTCAGCAGTAGTATTAGTAGCAGCGGTGGAGGCTCATACTTGGTGGAAACGGCAGCAACCGTAGTTCATACTCAGTGGGAGTCGTACCACCAGGAGCAGTTTCCGCAGGGGCCCACACTCGGTGGTACGCTGGTTCTGGTAGTAGCATGGGAATGACAAGGACTTGAAACTGTCAGCAACTGCTACAAGCACTTTACACGGAATGTTACTTTCATTCTTGTAGCCAGCTCCGACACGGTGGCGAGTATTACTGTTTTCCCCACTGTAGGGCAGAGGACGCACAGCGCCAGGTAGTTCTGTGGTGTGCCCGGTGTCCCACAAAGCATAAAGGACGGAGCCGAGACTCAGTCGTGGGTGCTCTAACTTACGAAACCTGACCGTCTGGATGACTGAAAGCTCATCCGGTGTCGGGAAGGCTTGTTCAGAGGACTTCGACTTCAGGGTCTCAGATGCACGCATCTTGAACCTGCCTTAGGCTGTAAAAGGCTAAAAACTCCCTGGATAGAAAACGAGATTAGGGGTCGGGTAGAGCTCAGGTGACAGTGTCCCCTGGGAGCCGGAAGTGGCTAGGGTGCCGACACTGGCAGTAGCAGCATGGTGTCTTCAGATCAACCAGGAGCCCTTTAGAAAGCCACCTCTACTCTTTACTGTCCCTAAGTGGATGAGGGTGTGGTTGCCCTGTGCCTAAGTCTTAAACATCCATCTACACTCTTGTTTTGCTTTGCTTTGCTTTGCTCCCCTCGCCTCCCCTCGCCTCCCCTCGCCTCCCCCTCCCTTTCCCCCTCCTCCCATCTCCTTTTTTCTTCTCTTTACTTCTCTTTTCAAGTTTATTTACTTATTTTGAGAGTATGTGAACAGGAGAAAGGCAGAGAGAGAGAGAAAATCCAAAGTAGACTCCACACTATCAACTCAGAGCCCAATGCGGGGCTCAGACCCACAAACCGTGAGATCATGACCTGAGCCGAAATTGAGAGTCAGACGCTTAACCGACTGAGCCTCCCAGGCGCCCCACATCCATTTACGTTCTTGAGACACCATTCTAGATGAGCTCCTGGAGACCGGCCAGCGGGAAGACTGGAGCCTCAGAGGGCACTTGGATGATCTGAGCAGAGGCCGAGTTCTCTGTTGTTACCAGCAGGTACACCTGGCTCCCTGCCGAGAGATGGTGTCTCTGTGAGCCTCCGAGTGGGCGTGCGTTGGTGAGGATGAGAACCCCGGTCAGTCCCTGGTGTGCGGGCGTGTTCCCACGCGCAGGGTTGCAGCCGGCCCGAGGTAGCGCAGTGACCGTCTGGGGTGGACTCCGTGCCGGCAGCGGACACGTCAGGTGTGGAGTGGACCCGGGCTGCCGCCTGGAGGTGCTTGCTCCTTCGTGCTGTGATGAGGCCCGTATCTTGGCGGTTTCCCGTATACAATGAGACGGTGGCCTCCGAGCCTGGTGACTAGCTCGCTTCTCACTTCATGTCTTTAAGAGAACATGCGCCAGAGCCCTTACTCCTGTGGCGGGAAGCTCAGGCAGCTCCCGGTGTTAGAGCTCAACCGCAAGTAAACCTTGAGTTCTTTTCTGACAGCGAAAGGAGCCTGAAATCCAACACACATGACCCTTGTTTTCCTAGACTTGCCTGGCTGACACACTGCTGTTCTGGAGAAGTTAGAAATGACTTTTGATGGTGGAGCTACTAAGGATCTGTTACATTTCAAAATCACTTTCAGGTGCTATTTTGGGTTTTCCGTGACTAAAGGTAGTTATTCAGTTAGTTTGATAGGATGAATGTTAGTTTATTATTTTTATTTTTTTACTGTTTATTTTTGAGAGACAGAGACAGACAAAGCGCAGGCGAGGGAGGTGCAGAGAGAGAGGAGGGACACGGTATCCGAAGCAGGCCCCAGGCTCTGAACTGTCAGCACAGCGCATCCCGAACCCACAGCCCACGAGATCATGACCTGAGCCGAAGTCATACACTTCACTGAGCCACCCGGGTGCTCCGGCATGTTAGTTTGATAATAAACTCTATGAAGCAGCTTCTTGTTTTGTGATCTTCTGTGCTGCTTGTTGCTCTTTGTATTTTAGGTCGTGGAAGATCTGAACTCAACCATAGGATTTTTGGAAGAGCTTGAGGCTTGCTGATTGATTATCCATGGTTTCTAAGCGGTGCAGGGTTCCCAGCCAAAGCGTGGGCACGGCCTTCCCCGGGCACTACCGGCAGCACCAGCGGGGAGAGGCAGGGCGTTCGATGCAGGCTAGGGTGAGGCTTTTGAGGTTGGATTTCACAGGAGCGAGAATCTCCGTCCCATGATGATTGAGGAACGATTGTAATGCTCGCAGAAACCGGCTCCGTGCTGATGTGGAACACAGCGTTCTTGCAGGCCAACGCAAACTCGAATGGAACAGCCAGCGAGTTCCCGGCCCGCCTGGTGCCTGTGTGCACC